CAGTATTTTAACTCCTATTATCATAACATAATAACACACATTTAATTCTTACATACATATATATAATATCTATAGGATGACACTAACCACTGTCCAATTGTGATGTGCATCCAGTTGTGTTACACATTTATTTTCAGTTAAATATGAGTTATCTTTCTTGTATCATAAAATTAATTGTTGAAATGGTTCCCATGTTTTTTCTATTTTTTCACCTATTGCAGGAGAACTGTGAAAGGCGGAAGATAGTTTTTCAATAATATAATAATTTTTCAATTTCTTTAGTGCAATCTTAACACAAGGTAACAGTGAGCTCAATCTACAAGAATAAATATAGTACTGCATGAGAACAGTGAAATATTTCCAGAGATATCTATAATATCTGATCCCAAGAGGATGTTTTCTTTTGATATTAGAGATACTTGAAACCTACCTACAAAGAAAAGGGAACCATTTGTTACACCGATACTGATAGCATCATTTGTAAAGTAGAAACACCTGATGCTTATAAGGACGTTAATGAACATGGACAACAATGGTTTGACACCTCTAAAATTCCTAAAGATCATCCATCTGGAATAAGCATGGAATCAAACCCTGGTATTATTGGAATGTTTAAGGATGAAAACAAAGGTGAAATTATGACTGAATTTGTTGGGTTACGTGCAAAGTTGTATGCCTTTAAGATGGGTGACACCGAATCAAAGAGAGCTAATGGGGTGAAAAGGAGTACTGAGAAAAATGGACTTACCTTTGCCGACTACAAGACATGTCTAGATACTTACAAAGTTAGTTATCGAACCATGAATATGTTTAAAAGTCGTGGGCATCAAATTCATACGATTGAGTGTCGTAAGAAAGCTTTCTCAGCTGATGATGACAAACGTTACATCTAACCCAATGGCATTAGTACTCTAGCACATGGACATTACAAAATTGAAAAATCACCTTAAAGACGTGTGTTGGTAAAAGAAAGAATGACTTACCCACCTATTATATCGAAATGTCTGAAAAACATCAACAGCTGTAGAACGACAATACTTCAACGCATGTAAACAAATGATGGAGGCTTCAGAAAGACGATTGCAACTTTCCGCTCCTTTGGAAGCTAGAAGACTTAAAACAAAGGATACCAGTACACAACATTCTACTTCCCAACTCACCCCTTTCGAACGGAGAGTTGGAGAAAGCGGTCAAGACTCTAAAGATACCTCATTTCAGAGGTGTATTCATGCGTGATACCCTACCTTCCCAACCATACCATGAAGAGTGTGGTATTTTAAACCATGATACCTTAGGGAGACCGGGAACACTTCGGACGTGTTGGTTTAAGAATACAACCACCAAACTGTACTTTGATTCTTATGCATTACCACCCCCAACAAAATGGTAAATTACTTAAAACCTAAGATCTACTAAAACACCGATGAACTTCAAATAAGAGAAACAGTGTTCTGTGGACACTTTTGTTTGTATGTGTTGAAATTGTTGTCGGAAGGTCAACCTTTTGATGAAGTCGTGTTTTCCATTGGATGCTATAAAAAAATGACAGACAAATTTGGATATTATGAACAGAGAGACATAAATAGCAGTCAATTGCTGGAAGACCTAAACATGAACGACACTCGAATTACAAACTTGAAACATCCGAGTCACGGTGCGAATGATACAACGAAACGATGGGTTATTCAACAGGTGAAAGACGTGACAAGTAGAATCGAAGCATTACAATCCGAGAAAAAATGGTTAGAGACTAATACCACCCTGCAACAAGAACTATAGAAAACTATACAACAAAAAATCGATGCATTGGTGGATCTCATGTTGGTGATGGAAGAGCAAACCAAAGAAGACTTAGATGGTATAATGATGGTCATGTAATTGAAACATACTGCTGGGAGATTCAACCATAAAACTGTTAGTGGTTCGATATCTGGTAAAGATATAGCTCAGTTGTTCAAGCCTTCACCGCCATAATATGAATAAAAATTACAGACAAAATTGGAATGTATGGACATGAAGACATCAATAGGATAGTTTTCAAGAAGATCTGAACATGAACGACAATCGTATCACTAACTAAAAATCTCCGAGTCACGGTATGGATGCTGCAACGAAACAATGGGTCATGCAGCAATTGAAATACAATACGAGACAATTAGAATTACAATTACAATCCGAGCGTGCGCAAAAAAAAACGGATATCAAACAAATGAAAAAGGATATGATGCAACCATCAAAAAACTTAAGAAGAAAGTGGATACGTTTGAAACCAGACTGCAACAAGAATTTAATGGAAAAGTAAATGAGTTAAAAACTATTCTACAACAAAAAATCAATGCATTGGAAAAACGTTTGTTACTCGTGCAAAGTATTACCATGTCAAGAATCCATACATTGGTGGAGTGGTCGTTGGCGATGGGAGAGAAAAACAAGAAAGATATAAACGATTTAAGGATATACGTTCGATAGGTAAAATGTTCTTATAGGGGAAGAGTTAACCTTTTTGTTCTTTGGACTCAAGAACACGAAAAGCTTACACATTCTTATTGCATGTCTAATTGTTTGATCCAAGAATTAAAGGACTAAGGGAGGTACCCTTTCCGTTGAACGTAACCTCTTTCACACCACCCTCGGTTTGTTTTCGTAAGACCTCTTTGATGCGGTACATGTCTTGATCCGTCTTTTGAAGTTTGGGCTCGTAGAAGGAACCTTCTATTTCCTCGTCATTTAAATCCTTGATACGATACGTTTGAGGTTGTGTGTTTAACACGTGTAACACCGTTAAGACTTCTTCAGTCAACCTACGGGTGTATCCCTTTTCAAACACGCCTTTCGTTTAAGTGATTCGAACTGTATCCCCTACTTTAAATTTAACCTGTTTTAATGGAAGAAGGTTACCATACATGTTCCAGTACACTTTGTTTTCGTGTTCTTGCAGCAATAGGAGTCATTTTAATGGATCTATGTTTAGATGTATTGTACTGATGCACGAGATCATCCAACACATCGATGTAAGTGCGCGTAGAATTAGCCGAAAAGTATTTAAACATTTTCTCTTTCATGGTACGGTTCCAACGTTCAACGAAACTTGATTTTTCTTCATTCTCGTACAGTACAGTTCAATGTTGTGCTGTCGAAGTAACTCTATTACTTCTTTGTTGTGAAATTCGGTACCTTTATTCGTCCATAATTTTTTAGGAAGTCGTGATGATGATGTGAAAACCGCTTGAAAGGCATCTTTGACTGTCAACCCTTTCTTGTTTTTGGGAGCATGAGCCATCCGTATTTGGAAAACATATCGATGATGCTTAGAATGAATTTAAATCCTTTGTTATCGCGAGAAAATGAACTCATATCGATGAGATCGGCAGTCCAAATTTCATCCACACCAGCGATAACACGTCGTTTTTTGAAATGACGTCGAACGGGTTTATGTAATTCTTCTGCTAATTGATCTGTCCAAAGAACTTTTTTATGCCCCAAACCAAATCGTCTTTTAGTACCGATGAGAGGTTAAACGATACCACGATTCATTTTCTCTCTCATGGCTGAATGGTGGATGGTGTCTAATTGTAAGAGCATATTTATATCACACACGGAATAAGGTGGATGTATCTTTATGTCGAGCATAATAGAGGTCATGACGATAGGCAGCTTCATCGACTCGATTGATAGGTTCAGACCAAGATTTAAGTGTGTACTGTTTGACTAAAGGGTAAAACAATGTTTAACATGTGGTGTTGAACACATCTAGAATCGATTTAGTAATGGTGATGACTTTGAGTGTTGGAATTTAAGTAAAACCTTCCGCAAGTCAACACACCCACCTCAACAACCTAAATGCACTTCAACAACGATCAGAGGACATCAATGCACTCGTCAATGTCAACCTAATAAAAAAACGTCTAAGACACTTGAGTTTTCAGAACAAAAATGCTCTTAACTGCATTACCTTCGTTATTTCAACAACTATTTAAACGTTCAACAACGTTCAACGTTCAACGCTCAACGTTCAACAACGTTCAACGCTAATGAGCGTTAAATGTTCAACGCTGTAAATAAATGACGTTTATAATTAGCATTACCGATCCTAAACAACGTGAAGCTCTTGCTAAGGAGTTGCACGATATCAAACGTAACATTCAAGCTAGCAACTTAAAAGAACGACTGAACAAACAAGGATTGAGTCGTGATCTTAACAAGGTTTTTAAACCCGTCGTAGAAGCACAAGAAAAAAATAGCTTCTAAGATCACTAAAACGATTGAAGATCTCCTAGCAATCCTACCTGCATTACCTCAAGATCCTTCCGAGTCTGAAGATCAACTTCAAATCGAACGACCTACAAACATCATTAACGTTGGTCCTCTAGCCGAACATAATTTACACCTTATGACTACTCATAAGGCTGACCATACCTTTGGTTTGCGTTCTGAACACAAAATATTCTTCAGCGGGAATTCAGAGGTCATGATAAGAGGATCTCCTTGTGGATGGAGTAAGGTATAAAGGAACCCCGGGTTTGTTGGAACTCATGGTGATGAAGGTACCCACGGATTATGAACCTGATGAGTATTATGGTGAGATCTTGAAAAACACTGCTGCCATGTACCATGGAAACTCAGTCCTTTCTAAAACTTCTAAAGCGAGTAAGAGTTACAAATGAAACAATATCGTCAAACATATCTACAACGAACACAAGTATGGAAATAGACTGCAACAACCAATATTTCTACCTTCAATTTTTAATCAACTCCTCGATCGATTAGAGCTGTGTAGTGATTCAAATTATGCTGGGAACAGTGGTGTACGCAATGAGATAGTAGCCATCCTCGATGATATGAAAAAGGGTGGCTTCATTAACAGTAAGAAGTATAAAGAGATTTATCGTAACCTTTTATAAATAAATGTTAAACATAAAGAAAGGATACGAACGTAAATATGTGGTGGGTGGTAGCGGTCTGTTTGACACGATCGCTAATTTAGCCGGACGCACATTTACCTTTTCTACCGCAAAGACTCTAGGAAGTAAAGCCATGACTGCTGTCACCAATGCAGCTCTAAAAGGTTTAGGAAAAGGAGCTACCAAAGCTGTGGATCATGTGGTTCGTAGGAAACCAAAACCAAAGACTCCTAATCAACAAGCCCGTTTGAACAACATCTCATCTAAAAGCAAAAATCCACAGAAAACCCGTTTAAACAACATCATCTCAGGCAGTGGTATTGCAACCATTCATGACTTCGTCAAACGTTATAAATAAATGAATGATATACTTAGTATCACAGAAGGTTTGACTTTTGATGAAAGTATTCAGGAGTATCAAGTCCATGAATACGAACCCCAAACTGGATCATCCTTAAACAGTTCCGTTGCTGAAATACGAATCAACATCGAAACCCAGGACCTGTTTGTTCATTTATCTGAAAGTTATCTCTTGGTGGTAGGATAACTTCTAAAAGCCGACAATACAGCGTATGCCGATGCAGATCTTGTCTCCCTTGTCAAAATGGTATCATGTATCTCTTCAAAAGCATCGGATACAAACTGTCCGGTCATCAGATTGAATACCTCAATGATCCAGGTATAGTAACTACACTCTTCGGATTGATGATGTATCCCGACGACTTAAGCAAATCACAAGGTCTCAACCAATTGTGATTTAAAGATTTTACGACTGACGCCGAGGCTAAAAACATCGGTTTTGCAGCTAGACATGGTTACATTATTACCAAACTTACCCCAAAACATATCTTTGGTTTGCGGTAGATTATACCAAAATCATATATGGGTTAAAACATGAACTCACATTGGTACGTGATTGCGATGAAAACGTAGTGTTCAGAGCAGCAGGAACAGATCGAGCAAAAATCGTATTAAGTAAACTATCCTGGTTCGTTCCTCATGTGATCCCCTCCGATGACAACAAGTTGACACTATACAAAACCATTCAAAGCAAGACTAAACTCAACTGTGGTTTCCGCATGCGATTCAATATCCGTTCCCCAAAGTAGAGAATTTACTTGGCGACTCTCTGCTAAAAGTTGACTAGAGAACCTAGATACATCATCGTAGCCTTCCAAACCGATAAAAGTAACGATCAAGTAGAAAACGCAGCACTATTCGATCGCTGTTTTTAAAGAAACATTTATGTCACCTTAAATGCACAAAATTATCCAGTTGTAGACTTTAACACCCAATTCGAGCAGTGTTAAATATCTAGAATATACAAAGAAGCCGCCGATTTTCGTAAAAAATTCTTCAAGATGGATCATCTCATAAGTAATACTAGTAATTATATCAACCCTCCAAACTTTACATACCTCTATCCTTTGTTTATGATCAATGTGAGTCACCAAACAGAAAAGCTAAAAGAGTCAGTGTTTGACATTCAAATTAGGGTAGAGTTTGAACGCAATGTTCCAGCAAACACTGAAGCCTTTGCACTGGTGATCTCAGATAGAGTCCTACAGTTCGAGGCTGATGGACAAAAGATGAACGTTGTGTTCTACAGATAAATGGATCATCACTTGTTACAACGCATCGCTGAAAATACGGCACCTAGGGAGGGTTTCTCTTTCATTGTGTCAGCTAATAACAACAAAATCGATACCAGGTTCAATCCACCCATTCACTAATAAAATGGAAAGAGTTATGAAATGGCTCTGGTCAACCTGTAGACTTACTACTCTTTCCCAAATATTCATGCAGGGAACAATACCTTTTGTTATTCTAATGATAATGGTGCCACCTGGTTTTCCGTTGCGTTAAACACTGGCTCTTACTCTATCGAAAATATCAACAACGTGTTACAAAGAATCTACAACTCAACATACACTTCACCGAAATCCAGATCGGTGCTAATTACAGTACACCAAGGGCAACACTTACTTAAACTAGAAACTATCAAGTCGATTTTAATGTTGACAATAGCATCAATACAGTGCTGGACTTTAACAAAGAAATCTACACTTACGATCGAGCTACAAGTTGGGACCATTGTCAACATCATCAGCTTTAACAACATTCTCGTCAATAGTGATATCATCAGTGGTAGCTATGTCAATGGATCACAACAACCCACCATCTACAGTTTCTTCCCAAATGTATCCCCTGGTATGAAAATCATTCAAACCCCTAAAAACTTAGTCTATTTACCAGTCACACTGATAACCGTCAATCGCATGAGTACTACTCTGACGGATCAAGATGGAAATCCCATCGATCTGAGAGGTGAACATTTAAGCATACGTTTTCATCTTCGTGAGATATAAACCACCTTAAAGCTAAAAAAAAGGTAATAACTTAATATGGTACACAACAAGAGATGTTATTGGTGTGTGTGTAAATTAAACTTTGACTCAGTGTTTTGTCCTATAGACAAACATTACCAGTCCACATTTTGTAAGTATTGGAGTAACATTACAGTAAAGGATTTCACGTTACAGAATCAAAATTATGTGGTGCTTCCTTGCCACTTTTGTTCGTTTAAATGTTGTTTAGTCTGCATTGAAGACAATACGCATGATTTCACATTTTGTAGGAGTAAAGCATTAGTGTTTAAACAAGTCAGTAATGAACCCTTACCTTGTCGTGCTAGTCATCGATCGGTGTTAAGTGTGTTTGGAGGACCTACGGGGTATGATGAATTTAAAAAACTGTTCGTAACTAAAACGTATTACATGCAACGTGCTTTACTACTGAAACCCTTTCAACACAAGTATGCTGTGGTAGAAAAAAACCTAAGTAAAAAACGGTTTTTATTTTTAGGGAATTAAACCAGTTCCCTAAAAAAGAAATCTTCGTTAGGTATAAATAAATGAACTATCATACGCATGGTTCAAATATGACACAAGGTCAAGCCCATAAATTACAAAAAGCAGTCAAGAATGGTTGTTGTGTTAGCATTTGTTTATCGCATGCTTATTTAACGGAAAACGATAAGATGTTGCTCACTCAGCGACAAATACAAAAGATCGACAAGCTGTTAAAAAGTGGTAAAGTGGTAAAGGTGGTATGGTCTTGGAGTTGAGTATAAAACAACTCAAACAAAACTACACTGAAAAACAACACTTACGACTCCATAAGAAAAACACAAACTAGTAACACACACCAATATTTTTTTAATCTAGTGTTTGCTAGATTACAATGAATTGGTATTCACTTAGGGGCGGGACTGTTTACTAGGTCACATTTACATTCTAACCAGGTCGTATGAAAAATACTCTTGTTTAGATTTTTTACTTATTTTGAAACCAGTACTTCTTACATAGGCTCCTTCCAAAATGTCCTACTCTTTGTATAAACCACTAATAACCACACCCTTGTTATATCCCCTTCCCTTGTTTTCAAGGTAAGTATACAACTCTTACCAAATTTACCAATTACTCAAGTCACTTCTATAATTTGGTACACCATCCCAATGGGAAGGTCTCTCCATTTTATGGTTTGTTCATCTTTTTCTTCTACCTTTGTGTCAAAGGCATTCAGATCAATGAAAGTAGCTATCGTATTCTAAATACTTAACATACACACGTCTAAATGGTGTGTTTTTTTCAATTTGACGTGGTTAAAAAATGTTTAAACGTGAATTATTAATTGTCGAACGATTTTCCAAATGAAAAACCGTTCTAACCATGTGGTATAATTGCACATCTTCGATGTCCTCTTCTTCGTAATCATCCAACAACACGTTGACCATCTCATTCATGGACGGAGCAGTAAACCGGCTTTGATATAAAATCTCATTCAGTAGGTGAACTGCTATGTTAAGTTTCCAATTTTCAATCGTACATTCAATGTCAAACCTAACGTCTTCTTCGAGATTAAACTTAATGACTTCGAAGGTATCAATGATTTGGTTACTTAGCTGACTTAATGTGTGTCTAATGTCATGCTGTATGACGTCTACCATATAAGTTAATACTGAATCCAAATTAACCATCATTGCACCCACTACGGCGTATACTTTGTTAGACATGATTATTAACCAAAACCCACATCTTTCATGGTTAGTTTTTTTCAATTCAACACATCTCGCTCCTATTTGAAAAAACACCTTAATTTCTGCATAGTGTGGCAGAACTGTCACTAGCATTTAGGGTGTTAGGGGTTAAACTGCTTGGAATCGGATTTTTATTTATTCTATAATTAAATGCATGACCTACTTTCATTTTCAATTTTGTAGAAAAAAATTATCGAAATTGAAAGTGTGGCAGAACTGTCAATTTTTCTACTACTATCCAGTCTCGCCTCTTTGGAAGTTTATACGATTCCCTCAAATTCCCCCTCTTCATCTGTATATTTAAAATGAATTTACGAGATTTGAACATCCGTACAATATTTTGCATCTTATTTATGTATTTATTACTGCCTATTTCTGTGGTTTTAGAATAAGGGAACAAGAATATCGAAAGTATGCCTGTATGCCTGGGTTGTGAGCCAGCAAACATGTTTAAACCCGCCTCATTCTATATGTGCCTGTCCCAAGTCAGGAGCCTATAATCGAGTGGTTGTCGTTTATTGCTGTTTCTTATATTTGGTTTTCGTTTCTTGTTTTGTAGTTTGTTCCAGTTGTGCGCCGTTACAACACTGTACCAGGTTAGCGGGAGGGTTGGCGTCTTTAAACATGTTTAACCCCGCCACATTCTAAATGTGTCTAACCAAAGTCAGGAGCCCGTAGTTTAGTTGTTGTTGTTTGTTCATGTCTGCCATATTATTTTTTCGTAAATTGTTTTGTTATAAATTCGTCCATTAATTTTCTCAATTGAATTGTTTAATATTTTTCATATCGGGGCCTTTTATAGCCGACTATACGTATGGGTATTTTTTCATTGTTAAAGGCCGTGCGGTTGCCTACAATTGCCTTTAATTGCTTACATCCACTTCATTTAAACTTTCGTGGATAGCTGTCTCACTGTTTTTATACTGTATTAAGTTCGCTTTACACTTTTTAATTTACAAAAAGTCAAATGAAACAATACCATTTAGATTTCCTTTTATGTTTTACATACAATCCACATGGGTAAAATATTTAAAAT